TTAGCAGTCCACTGCTTATCCTGCAGTGCCACATCTCTTCCCATTGTTGTTGTTTTTGAGTGCTGTCAAATTGGTTCCAGTCATAGTGACTTTGTACGGAGTTTCTCTGAAGCAGCTGGTATGTTTGAACTGCTGACCTTGTGATTAGCACTCCACTGCTTATTCTACATTGCCACACCAGGATTCCGTATCTCCTCCCGTGGTGGTGGTGGTGTGCCGTGGAGTTGGTTCCAACTCATAGTGACCCCTGCATAGAGTTTCTGAGGTTGTAAATCTTTACGGGAGCAGAAAGTGTTGTCTTTCTCCCATGGATCAGCTAATTAATAGATTCAAATAGCTGACTCTGCAGTTAGCAGCCCAGTGTGTAACACACTAAGCTACCAGGGTTCATATCCATGTGTATAGTTTAAGTTGTTGAAAATTGGTATTTGAAATGAATAAATTGTTTGTATAGTAAAATTCTATGATGTAATTGCCAGCATAGTTTCTATCACTAAGATTGATTTGATCGATTTCAGATTAAAGAAATTGGTAGCATTTGTTCTTCTTTATTGGCTTTAGTGATTGGTGCATACATTTGAATAATAGTGGTATTAACTGGTCATTCTTGTAGGCTTATGATTATTATCCTATCATAGACAGGATTGTACTTCAAAATAGGTCTTGAAATGCTCTTTTTGATATTGAATGCAACACAATTCCTCTTTAGTTTGATGTTTCTACCATAGTAAAACATGACTGTCTGATTCAAAATGGCCAATGTCTGTCCATTTTAGCTTACTAATGCCTAGGATATTGATCTTTATGTGTTTCGTTTCATTATTGCCAGTTTCCAATTTTCCTAGATTCATATCTATTATTAATGGATGTTTGCAGTTGTTTCTTCTCAGTTTGAGTTGTGCCCCATCAGATTTGCTCCATTCATGTCATTAATGGCAACTCTATTGTGAGAAAGCAGCTCTTCCCCAGTTGTGTGTTGAGTACCTTTCAACCTGAGGGGCTTACCTTCTGGAACTATATCAGACAATATTCTGCTGCTATTGTAATTTCACTGACTTAACTTTTCAGAAGTGGTCTCCTCTCCTGCTTCCTAGTCTGTCTTAATCTGAAAGATGTCACTGAAACCTGTATACCATGGGTGACCTTCCTGCTGGTATTTAATACTGGCAGCATAGCTTCCAGCAACACACAAATCACCACAGTACAGCAAACGGATAGACTAGTGGTGCCATCTACCTATAGATCAGCTGCATTCAGTTGCCTTCTGTTGCCTTCAACTATGCACTCCTCCTTTTGTCTTCCTCTGCCTCCATTTTTTTGTCTTTTTTTTGTGTGTGTATGCCAACTACCCACTGGTAACCATCAAATAATGTTTATTTTAGTGTGAAAACGTTTTCTTGACATTTTTACGATAGTGGTATCATAGAATATTTGTGCTTTTGTGACTGACTAATATTTTAGCATATTGTCCTCCAGGCTCATCCATGTTTTGCAAAGTCATTTCTATTCTTTAACATTATATAGCATTTCACTGGTGAATGGACCTAAGTTTGCTTATCCATTCCTCCATTTGTAGACATTTAGGTTATTTCCATCTTGTTCCTATTATGAATAATGCTGCATGTGTATATCTATTTGTGTCAACAACACTTTTTTAAAGTCCTATCATCTGTCTATGTATGTGGGTATGTGGGTGTACATGTCTGCAGTTCAGGGCAGAATTCTTGTCTGGAGACACAAGTTTAGAAGTCTTACTTAGGTTATAAAATAATTTTTCCTTGATATGTTCATTTGAATTGAACTCTTTACTGAAGAAAGTATTGGTAACAACCATCAAGATCTCATAATGTATATACTGTCGAGTCTTTAAAAAGATTTTTTTTAACAAAAAGTGACTAGGAGTACATGGGAAGTAGGGTTAAGAAAGAGTCATGAGATAATTGGCTAGAGGTTAGAAAGCGGCGTGAGGTATGCAATTGGTTATGTTTTGTATCAACTATGTATTAACTAGTTCTGGGTACTAGTTAAATGGATATATTGTCTTTGTGGAAATTCATCAAGTTGTAGAGTTAGGATATATGCACGTTTCTGTATGTGTCTCATAGTTGCTTTATATGCTGCTTAAAAATCCTTGAAAAATAAACTACATAAACAGTGTGCTATTTAAACATAAGGAAGGGAATGATCAGTATTATCCATAAATTTTTAATTTAAAGAACACTTTAAACAAATAGAAATATAGTAAGAGAGCTTTCTAAAAAAGATAAAGCACAAAAATATGTATTTTGTCTTTCTAAGGGAAATAGCTTTGTGTAGGAACCAGGGTGAAGAGTAGCCATTTAGTTAGAAGGGGCATTCATTTTCCAAAACTCAAAGTAAATATATATGGGTGATCGGTCAGTACGCCTAATTACCATATGGAGCTGACTTTTATCATGTGTCCATCGTTCAGACTCAAAAGCTTTGAAGCTGATTTATTCTCCCCCCATTTTTTTTTTCTAATTAGCACCTTCTAACAAGAATGTCTCCTTTGTATTCCCATTACTACTTACCTGTATGTGTTAAAAAAAAATAACAAAATTACAGTATTCTTTTTCCCCCCCTGCTGATTTTCCCCCTGAAATTTGAAAAATAATTCTTCAGGGGAGAAAAATAAAATGGGAAAATGATCTATAGTCATCATACAGTAATGAGCTGTCTCTAGGGCAGCACTGTTTAAAAGAAATATGTGAGGCACAAATGTGAGAGATATTTGTCGTTTAAATTTTTCTGTAGCCACAATTTTAAAAATTGTAAGAAAACAGGTAAAGTTCTCTTTTTATTTTATTTAGCATTGCATATCCAAAACATGATTTTAATGTTTAATCAATATCAAACAGTTTTAATGATATAATTTGACATTTTTTTCTTACTAAGTCTTCTAAATCCAATGTGTATTTTGTACTCACTGCACATCTCAGTTTGAACTTACCCATATTCCTCGTGCTGAGTAACCACATGGGGCTAGAGTGTAGCTCTTAAGCTACAACTGGAAATGATTGCACAGCCAGCTTCAAGAAAACAAATTACTCTTTTTCAGAATTTCACTCATTAAGCACATATTTATTAAGTACCTTACATGTGCCATGTATTTAGCTTACCCCAACTACTGTAGCAAAACCTGCTAGGAAATGTTTTGTTGATATTCTGTCATAAATAGCACTTCCTCAAAATAAGTTTTAAATTATATTTATAATATTAGTTTTTCACAGTATATGCTTTAAAAAATATATTTACTTGCTTCAACCACATTTTTCCACTTACGAGCTTAGATTGTTGTTGTTAAAGGACATCGAGTAGGTTCCGACTCACACCAATCCTATATAGGGTTCCAAAGAACGAGAACAGCTGGTGTGTTTAAACTGCCAACCTTGCGATTCAAACTGACCTTGTGGCCCAGTGCCTATCCTACAGCACCACCAGGAATTCTAATAACTTTAATTACAAAAAATTTATCAACTATTGGAGCTTTTTTAGTTTCATTTTCAGCCTTGAAAAATTAAAACAATGTTGAATGTATTTGAAAAATTTGCTTGGTAGGTACAGAGTATAAAAATTAAATATGTAGGAAAGGAGTGGCTGTTTCTCCATAACTTTTTCAAGCATGGCTGATTTTTTTGTAAATTTTAGAATATGTTGACGTAAAACATTGTGAAAATTGATGAGTTCGTTGGTATTAGTGTGCACAGAAAACGCATTTTGTTTCAAATTTCATATCCATGTATTTCATTTCAATCTTGCTTTGGGTGACATTTTGATTACTTGTACATATTTATGATCTAAATAATTTCTATATTTTCATATCATAGTTTTCATAATATTCCTATGTGATTATGTCTTTAAGACTAATATTCATAGATGTTGATATAAAATTATAGAGCTTGATTACTTAATGTATCCTTAATACTGAGAACTTAAAGGTATCTCATATTTAACCCTTACATATATAAACTTAAAAGAAGTGATATTAAATGGTTATAATCTGAGTGATCAAATGAAAGATTTGATTTGAATTTTTATTTATTTTTACTTCTCTTTCTCCTTTATTTTTCCTCTTCTACATAGGTTTATAAAATACTAGTAAAGAAAACTCCAGAAGAAACCTGGGTAGTTTTTAGAAGATACACTGACTTCTCTAGACTTAATGACAAGGTAAATAATAAATTCAAAGCCAACTTTTCAATTTTAAATTATTTCCTATCTGTTCCTTACACTTCTTTTGTACTTGTGTTTCTTCTTGCTGTTAATCGAGTCGAAGTGTTCTACTGCACTTTAGTAACCTGAACTCCCATCTGTATCCATAGCTTTATTTTTATAAAGAAAACATTTTTTAATGAAAAAGTTTAAAACTGCTTCAAGAAAATAAAAGTGATTATATAATTTTGTAGATTTGGGGGAATATACCTAGTAAGACCTCCAAATTTTACGATTACAAGCAAATGAGTAATAAATATTTTGACTCTTTCTTATTACTGCATGACCTACAACCACAAACTCTGAGTTTAAACAGCATCAGCTTTGTACCTCATAATTCTTCCAGTGGGTTCACCAGGCTCACTACTTAGGATCTCATGAGGTCAAAATCAAGGTATTGGCCAAACTTGACACTTACCTGGAGTCTAGGGAACAGTCATCTTCTAAGCTCATTGAGACTGTTGGCAGAATTCAGTTCCTTGAAGTCATAGGATCAAGGTTCCTGATTCCTTGCTGACTGATAGGTTGTTTTTAGAGACAGCACTCTAGTTCTTGCATGTGACTCCTCCTTCTTCAAAGTCAGCAACAGTACATCAAATCCTTTTTGTGCTTTGAATCTCTTTGACTTTTCCTCTGCCAGAAAACTCTGCTTTCAGAGGGCCAGTGTGATAAGATTAGACCCATGCAGCTAATCTCTCCAATTTAAAATTTTTAACTTTAATTCTGGAGTCCTGATGTGGCACTGCTGGGTAATACATGGAACCCCCTGAACCGCAAGGTCAATTTGAACTGCAAGGTCGAAAATTCAAACTCACCAACCTTGCAATCCAGTGCGTTAACCCAAAGCGCAACACTTCTTATGGAACCAACCTGTTGGCACTTAATAACAACAATTACCTTAATTCTGTCTGAAAAATTTTGTTTGCTGTGTGGTACAGGGAGGGGTAAGCACTCTGCTACTAACAAATGGGTCGGCAGTTCAAACCCACTAGTAGTCACTCTATGGAAGAAAGATGTAGCAGTCCCTTTACATAAAAAGTGTGGCGCTTTGGGTTATTTCTCTGGACTGCAAGGTTGGGTCAAGCCAACAAGCAGCTGCTTGGAAACCCTATCTCCATGGCACTTAGTAACAACAACAACATATTTAAAGAGTAAGGAACCAAGGTAGTGTTGTGGGCTAGCCATTAGGCTACTCACTGCAAGGTCAGCCCACCATCTGCTTGCTATTCATAAGAAAGATGAGGCTATCGGCTACTCCCACAAAACTTAGTCATGGAAACTTCCTGTGAGTTGGAATCAACTCTATTAAATCAACTCTTTAATAGTAAAGAAAGCTTACAAATAAATAGCTAAAAGTGAACAAAAAAGTAGAAAATACAACAGATGATGTGAGTAGAAGAGTAATTAATAGGGAAATATAAATTAATTTGATATTTAATAAAAACTCTAAGGAAAGAAAATTTTTTTAATGTTTTCACCTATTAAGGTGATAAACATTTAACTAGTATTATTACTGAATAAGCCTTCCTAAAGTTTTGTATAATCACATGTGTGAGATTTACCCTATATTCCAACTCAGCAATCCTGTATAGAGTTCCCAAGGCTGTAAATCTTTACAGGAGCAGAAACCTTCATCTTTCTCCCACTGAACAAAAGAAGGACTTGAACCGCTGACCTTGTGGTTAGCAGTCCAGTGTGTATCCTACAGAGCTACCAGTGCTCCACATATGCAGTAGTAGGTAATTGTTTAAATAAATTGCTGTCCAGAGAGCTAGAGGAAGATTGCAGAAGGTAGTTGGAGACTTGTTGGTATTTTGGAAGCCAAGAGAAAACCCATTTGTCCAAAAGAAGCAAGTGGTTTATGGTGCTGCAGAGAAACCAAGTAAAATTCCCAGAGAACATCAAGAAATTACTCCCTTATTTTGACAGGTGTTTAGTAGAGAACACTTCAATGGTTCTATCCTTTCCTATTTGTCACCTTTATTTGCCTCCATTGGATTATATAAAACTTCTACAGTTAGTATGTTCTTTTAATGTTTGCCAATGTGACACTCCATTTATGATTTAGCAACTGTTTGGCTTCCAAAATATTTCTGCTACTCTGAAAACCTCAGGTTCAATGTAAAAGGTATTATATAAAATGTCAAACTATTTTAGCTTTTATTAAGGTGTTGTTAAAGTGTCTTATATAGTATGCCAAGATATTTTAAGTGTTATTTATAATGTAACACCATCGTATATGAATTTTATTACTGTTCCTTAGCTCTATATATTACACTCATGATTAAAAGCCTATAATTCTTTACTACTGATTTTTTTTTTTTAGATAATTAAGCAGGAAAGTCAAACCAATTCATGAATTTACCAAATACTTAAGTGGAATTCTTAGCTTTCTTTTAAAATTATTATAATTTTGTTCAAACATACTTAATTTTAAATAGTTTCAATTTAAAATTACTTCATCCTTTATTACTGAAAATTTTCTTTTTTTAAAGTTTGACTATCATTCAGTGTTTGCCTCAGTGTATCTTGCTAGATTTATCTTTATTGCTAAAATATTTCTTACGTAGACAATCTGAGATTTAGACAATTCCTATGCTTTTTTAAAAGGAATACTAGTAGGAATTTAATATAAATATAATAGATTTCTCTTTGACAAGCTCAAGTTGGTCACTTAAAATTGATGTCTAAATCTTTTAGAGGTGCCGAAAAGAGCTTCACCAATCACCAGCTTTTATTGGCAAGAATCAAAATGTATGTTAAATACTAGCAGACAGATAGGGTAAACTACAGTTAATACTTACATAATTTAAGAGTTCTGGTGACGCTGTAGGATAAGCACTGGACTACTAACTACAAGGTCAGCAATTCAAACCCACCAGCCACTCCAAGGGACAAAGGTGAGGCTTTCTAAAGCTCCTCTAAAGATTTACCTTTAGCAAAACTTTTTTTTTTTTTTTAAGTTTTGCTAAAGTTGCTCTGGTAGCGTAGTGGTTACGAATCAGGCTGCGAACCTTAAGGATAGCAGTTCGAAAATACCAGCTGCTCTGCGGGAGAAAGATGAGGCTTTCTGCTCCTGTAAAGATTTACAGCCTCGGAAACCCTGTACAGGGTCGCTATGAGTTGGAACTGACTCCACAGCACATAACCAACCAACCAAACAGCCATAATAGCTAGCATATAGTAGTCCTGGTATGGTGCTGTGGGTTAATGCGCCAGACTGCAAAGTTAGCTTGAACCTCAAAGTCGGTGGTTCAAGCTCACCAGCCGCTCCTCTGAAAACCTATACAGACTTACTGTGGGTTGGAACCACTTCGACAGCTCTTAACAACAACGACAACAATCCATAATGGTTCAATATGCAGTGTTCTGGTACTATCTGAGAGTATTTCACTGCTATTCATAAGGTTTTCAGCAACAGTCTGCCTCTCCTTCTTCCTAGTTTGCTGTAGACTACAAGCTCAACTGAAACCTGACCACTATGGGTGTGCCCTGCTGGTATTTAAAATACCACTGGCATATCTACCAGCATCACATCAGCACACAGGCCACCACAATAC